TGATCTTGGCAAACCATCTGGTCTTCTTGCCTTCCTTTACACTGTACAGAAGGACATTGTCTGGTTTAATATCACAGTGCACATAGTCATTGTTGTGCATGTGAAGCAAGCCCTCACATACATTCCTCACAATTCTCAGCCAGTTCTTGCGGGAGAGTGCTGCAGGGGTGCCATTCCAGTCCAAGGCATCCTGTAGAGTTGTGACAGATAAGGTGTCCTTGTCACCCACAAACTCGTACAGCATTGTCCGTAGAGGTTGCTGCTCTACCACACCGTACAGCTTGGGGAATGAAGGGTGCTCTCCCAGTGCTGCCACAGCTATGATTTCCTGCCAGAGTGGTCCCTCCGAGTCTTGTGCCTGAAGGACCTTGGCTGCAGCTACAGTGTCATCTGGTAGACGGACGGCTGTCACCTGAGCAAATGCTCCCTCACCCACTAGGCCTTGCTGTCCATTTTGGTCAACTGCAGCAGGCTTGATCTCGCTACGTTTGTACATCCTGCAGCCAAGATGAGGGTGATAGACAACCTCAGGGATGACGGATGATGGAGGGGCTGCCTTATCCTGGGGCAGAGGAGGTGAAGTACATGTACTGGATGATTCAGTGGCTTCACTTCCAGAGTATGCAGAGTCAGTGCTAGACTTGGTAGCCTTGACACAATCAGGCTTCTTTTTGTTCTTGGCTGGTGCTGACAGGACAGTCAAATAGTCCTGCAATTGTTGAGATGTCATTTGGCTCAATGCATGCAAAGATGCACAGGATAATAGAGAGCCTTTGCTTGTTTTGCCGTCCTCGCTGGTGGTGGCGTGTATCTGCTGACAGGCCTTGCCGGTTACTGCTGGCTGGTCTGGGACAGCTTGCTGGCATTGTCCCAGAGTGGTTGCTTGATGTGGAGACTTGTCGACAGCAACCTGTTGCAGTGGGCTCTCTGCTTGTAGAGTCTGGTCAGGTGTTGGAGACTCCTGGTGACTAGGACTAGCTGGTTGACAATCCACAGTGTAGCACTGGTGGTTAGAGGATGACTTTTCATCTAAATCGCCTAGATTGGTGAGGTCACTGTTTTTCTCCCTGTGAGATCAAGAGATGAATATATATCAATTGATAATTCTGTGGTCAGGGTTAGAAGTAACGATAGGTTTGTTATTTGTGATAATTTAGTAGCTTTAGAGTTGGATTATGGGACAGGGACAGACAAAATACTTTTCCACTCATAGAATCAAACCTTAGTAGGTATAGTCTGTGTGAATTTTGTGGTGAAGAATGTTAACTACTCACTTTATATACTCATAAAGAAAAATTCACGAGTCCTACATTTTAGATTGTAGATTCAAATATCTATTCTGCACTCTAGTTAATGTTCTTTTGTTAGTCTACTTACATGTACCTCCTAGGGCAGAATACAGCACGCACAGCTTTCCTGAGGCTACACATTTTCCTGGATTTCTCATCAACCCTCACAGAGAGAGAGAGAGTAATTAGGCCCATGAAATTTCTCTTAGCACAAAGACACTAGCTCCACATAGATGCACGGACAGGCCTATATAGTTCAGTTTTCTTTTATCATTTAATGGAAAAACAAAGTGCATTCTGGACATTGTTGTGCAAGGACTTAATGTGTGGTTGGTATGTTTTATATTCATTCATACAAATTCAGAGATAAGAAAAAATACAAACAAAAAGTTTATTTGAGGTATCAAAGCAAGGCAAGAGTAGCCTAAATTTAGTACGAATGGGGATTTCATCTAGTTAAAGGATGTGACAATCTCCAGAATCAGGAACATCAGGGACTGACTTCTACAATTTTGTTTCTACATATGAACAAGAAATACATGTACCTGATATTTTGGAGGGGAATAAATCAGGAACACAAAATACTGACCGCAGAAAATCAGAAATCAGATTTCATACACACACAAATTGACTGTAGGCCCTACCACTGATGTAAGTAAAATCCATCAGATGATTTTACAGAAATTTTTCATGAGAAATCTTACTTCTAAGATGGAAGGGAAGAGAGTCCACACTTTAATTTTTGGCATATAAGACTTTTGCGATCTCGATCACTTGCACAGAATGTTTTTGGGCAGCTACAGAGGAGTTCAATTACC